ATTTTTTAATTTAAGCAGTTTTTATTAATATCGTAGGTCGTACATTTGTAAAAGTTTCTGAATTTAAATTTAAATTATTAAAACTCTTCCTGTTCGAAAAAAAAAACACAAAAATGTATTTTGGGAACACCTTGTTTCATGTTACAAAATATAAAATCCCATTAATTAGGTATTTAGTAAACCTTTTTTTATTTACTCTTAAATTTTAAAACTCTATGTCAAAACCTTAATAATTTATTAATGTTGTGAATGAAAAGTTTTTCTAAATTTGTTTTATTCTATTACGAGTACAAATTCCAGAATGGAAACCGATAAATGGACCCCCTTGTAATATAGAAAATAATCAATATTGCATGCATATTTAAAATATTTAAGCATTTTTTTGAATAAAATATAAGAGTTTCCTTTTCTCGTATATTCTTTAAACTCATTGGATGTTTAGAAGTTTTTCTGTTGTTTAAATATATTTTATTTTGAACTTTAAGGATTAAAAAATTTAAATATTTAAATTTTTTGGGAAATTACCTTCATATAAAAAAAGAAAAGAAAAAGAAAATAAAAAAGAAATTTCTCAAATTTTCAATTTAAATTTTGTTTTACATAAAATAAATAGTATACTCCTTTTTGTTATATTAAAGTAATAGTATTTATTGAATGAGAACAGAATGATTAACAACATGAAAGTCAAAGATTTTGAGGAAATTATGTAATGAACTTCTAGTTTTTCATATTTATTAGTTATACACTTGGAAAATATAAATATAAAATATTAATAACATGAATTTCAAATTATTTTAAATAACAAAATAATAATATTAAATATAAGAAAAAAAATTTTTAATAAATTAATTGAAACTAATAAGAAATTGAAAAGTTTTCATTATTTTTTGAAAATTTTTTATTAAAATATTTATATAGAAACAAAAAAATATTTCAATATAAAATGAAACTAGGGAAACTAAATTCCATCAAAATAGATTACTAATACGTTGTCTTCCCTTTCTATACTATTAGAGTAAATAGATGTATGAAAGATATTACATACTTCACACACATGTATTTATATAACTACATACATAAATATAAAAGATATATAATAATTTATAGTATATTTTCTAAATAACATTTTAATATCAGAGTGTAGAGTAAAAAGCTTTACACAACTGAACAAAAAAGACAAATTTTTATTCCACAAAAATGTTTGTTTCTTTTATTTCTTAGTTTCTTCTAACCATATCTGAATTATATTCGTTCTCATAAAACTCTGATATGAATGTATACTTTAGTATCAGTCTGGTATAAAATACTGAAAAACTGAATATACTTATATTTATAGTAAAACACATATATATATATAAGTACCTACATATATTGTATATATACTACTAAAAGTTACTGTTCTTATTTTTAGTGCTAGAGTGCTAATACTTTTGCTATTTGCTGATTTCTCTTATAAACAGAGTGCCCATTCACACTAAGTATATTTAATATCGATCAATAATTATGTGTCTATTGATTTAATATGACCCGGCCTTAGAAAATGTACTTTTATACAATTATTGTATGACTAATATACGATTACTTTTAATTTTAAATTTATGATTTGATCGAAGTTCGATCTCTTTAGAATTTCAACATAAAATATGAATGTTGTAAAAGATCTTTGACAAAATTTCTTGTCACTTACAAATTTTATATGGAGTATTGTTTACTGACAAATGTTTTGATTATTACAATGCAACAACATCAAAACTGCACAAAATTATTCCAATTTATTTCTTTTAATATTTTAGTTTTCACCTTTTACTATGATAATTTTGTACTTTTTTCAAATATTGCCACTATTGGGCACTTCATAATTCAAAATTTTTTACTCTTAAGTCTTACATTTATTCGTATAAAATACGAATAATACAAAAATATGAGAGTTTATATATGCATATTTTCTTTCCACATACATATATGAATGTTATTTAGCCTGACTGAAATTATTATACTTTTTGCCTTGGTTGCTGCTTACTGTGATATCAGATATATTCGTTTGCCATACACTTTGTCCCTATAGATACATATAACAATATACATATGAATAATATCTAGATATAGAAATCCAGAAATTTATTATTTTGTATTTCACTATGTATGTATGTATGTATGTATGTATATACACTCTTGAAAATATATATATAATAATAATGATAATAATAATAAGAAAAACAGAATGAAAAAGAAAAACGTAGAAATAATAATAACAGAAAAAAAAACAGCAGAAAATAACAAACAAACAAAGGAGAAAAGAAAGAAAAAAAACTCTATATAGAGCACTGTGTATTTATACATTTATAATATATGTATGTATATATTTGTAGATATATATCCAAGCTTTAACATATAGTATGTACCTACATATGTATATACAATTTATATTATTATATTTATTACGTTATGCATATACAAATATACGATATTATAATAAATGTGTAGACTTAATACGTATGTATGTATATATATATATGTACAAAAAATTGTATATATGTATATTTTTATATCATGCATATTTTATGTTATGCTTTTATATGTTTGAAGGTTTGTTTATATAAAATCCAGATAATTCATTTATTTTTCTTTTTATTATTTTTTTTTTTGTTTTCATTTTCTTTTTGTTCTTTTTCATTATTATTATCGTTTTATTGTTTTTTGTTGTTATTGTGTTGTTAATTTTGCTTTTTTTTTTGTTGGCTCATTTCTGCTTTTTTTTTTCTTTATTTTAATTTTGATATTGAAGCAGAAATTTTGTGAACGAACATCGAACTGATGAACGAACTAAAAAGAAGAACAACGAATAAAATGCTGAGCAAAAATTAATATTATTTTGTATGTATGTACATAAATTCGTATATATATGTACACAATTTAGTTACATAAATATAAATAAGTACATACATGTATAGTACATACAATATGTGTATGAATAATATAAAAAATGAAGGAGGAAAGAAAACAAGAACAGAAATAATTTGAAAAGCAGTTGAAAATGGAAAAATTTTTAAAAGAATCGATTTTTATTTTATACTGAAAAATAAAATAATTTTCTCTCTATACTTAGTTATTTTATTTTTTGTTCTACAAAATAAAAAAATTTATTTTTTATAAAAATTAAAAAAAAATTAAATATTATATATTTTTTTTTTGTTTTATTATAATATGGTTTTTTATTTTAGTTTAATTTTTTTCACTTTTTTATGTACATAGATACTTTATCACTTTTTGATGCTAGGTAACCATTTAATATATATACATGCATGTTTCAGTTAATATTTAAAATTACATTATATACCTACAAATATATATTTAAATTTAATTGCATTTTATAAATAATGTAAGAATATTAATGTATGTTTTAAAATTTTGTATGATTGGGTCTGGGGTTTGCAAATGTTGTTAATAAATTGAAACATGAATTAAAAGTTTGTGTGTGCGTGAAGGATTGATAATTTTCAACTATTAAATACACATTTGAATTTTAAATTGTTTTGTTTTTAAAAAAATTACAGAAATTTCAAATTCGATTTAAGAAATTTCACTCAACATTTTTAAGCTAAACTGATAGATAATTTTAGACGTTAAGACAAATTGATTCTTAATAAAATTCAAAAAAATTTTGAAAAATTTTACTCGGGTATGATGTTTCTGTAAAGATTTTGAAAAATTATTTATTTAAAAAGCTACTATTATGTTTTACCAGTCGATCATATCTTTACTATTTAATTTTACACAAAAAAAAAAATATTATATTTTTATTTATTTTATATAATGTTCTCATGTGTATGTACATAGTTGTGTATACATTATTGGATTTGCATTTCTTTTTTTCAATTTTTAATTTAGTTTTCTTAATTTTTTATTAAAAAATATTTAATTTTGAAAAAGCGTAAAGTATAAGGTTTCCAACATCAAAAACACACATTTTTACAATAAAGTTGTACATTGCCAACATTTTAATACTCGTAACAAATTGATCGATGTATCTTATCGTGAATGTTAATTTACCCAATATTTCACCAAAACTGACTTACCAGTTCTTGCTTTTTGTTAATAAGGAAATATTTATAACATAATCAATAAATTATTTGATGAAATTTTAAATCCTCAAGTAAGGTTTAAAATAGTTAGCAACGGAATATACTGCGAAATCACTGTTTTTAAAGTTTTCGAATCCGGGATCATTTGGTTTTTCTCTTAATCATTCTGATTGTGTAGCCTTTTTGCACATGATCACAGTTTATAAAGCACATGTACGCATGCATTTGCCTCAGTAATTTATAAAAAAGTGTCATTTATTTTATGAAATGAGCAATTTTTTGCTATATATCTGAATGATTGGGAGCATTCAATTATTTTTTTCCGACCGTATGTTGTAATATTAAAAAACCCTATGTTACGTACGTTAAAACTGCATTTATATAATAATATATAAACTAAGAAAGCCAATTTTATTTCTTAAACATTTTCAAATTCACATTCAAATTTCTTTTTTTTTCTTAGATAATGGATTTGACCATATTGCAAAACATTTTACTTGATTATTTCGTAATTTTTTTATTAGGGTTTCAATTTTTTTATTTTATTAGATATACCAGTAGTTATTGGATAAACAATATCATATAGAATCATTTAGCCATGTAGCCATGTTTAACAGACTAAATTAAATTTTTAGATTAATTCTTTAATAATTTTAATGAAAGGACAATAATTTCATCAGAAAGGACAATCATTTCAAGGGAAATCATCCACGCCGAAGACATGTAAACTAAAAAATTTTTTTATTGTATCTTTTCATTAAGTTTAAGACTAAGATAATAAACCTTAACCCGATTTTAAAACCTAATTATTTCGAAAAAATTTCTTACATTATTTGATGTTGGACAAATAAAAAAAATATAACTACTATGAAAAAATATTCCAGAAATAAATATGTACGGTAATGTAACATATTATGTAAGCAAATGTAACGCGAAATGTGCCACGAATTTTTTTTCATTTTTGGAAATATAAATACATATTAAATAATTTTGTAAACTTACATTTTATCAGCTTCCATTGATTATTTGAAATCTCGCTTGATTTGCTTTTCACATTTTTTTTCATTTGACATAAAAACTATGAAAAATCAATATGCCTTTAAGCTGTATCCTAACAGTGGAAATAATTAAAATGTTGCTTACATTATTACTTATGACCAATTTATTTTAGACGTTCTTATAAATTCAGTTAAATATAATCCATATACCACATCACTTTTTAAATATATATTTTTCCATAGCCTAACATATCACATAATTTTATTGTGAATCACTAGAGCTAGAACTAGAGCTATCTGTAGACATGACTTCAACATCATCTTGCGTGGCGTCCTTGTGTGCACGTGTATCAAGCTGCACTGAGTTACCTGAGCTCATAGACATATGAAGTTCACCCATTTGCCAAGCGAATTGATTTTGATTCGATGTTGGGACGTCCGAATTTCTATTTTGCACATCAGTTACTGAATTTTGCATTCCAGGCATTTTTCCATTAAGATTTAGTTCATTTTTGCCTAGAAAACCTAGACGCATTTCTATATCAGTTGGATATGGTCTTCTCAAATCTCCCTGCATCCATGTCAATGGTGCACAAACTGCGTTAGAAGCGCTTATTCTATGAGCATATTTTATTAATTCTTCAGAAGATACAGGTTGCTTATTAGCTTTTGTTATACTATTCAGTTTTCGTCTTGCTTGAAATATTGCAGTTGATAATATTTGTTCAGCTTCTTTAAGTTTATTTTGAAGTTTCTGAATTTCTCTATCCTACAACAAAATAAAAAGGCGAATGTGTTGAATAACTAAAACAAAAAATTCAAAATTGTTTTTGAATTAATTTTAAAATCTACATATATATATAATACATATTACAGGTATCCTAGGCACATATGGTAATATACATGCATACATATATATATATTATTTTTTAAAAGACAGTCCTTATTAACGAATAAATAGTAAGCATGTAAGTGCCATTAGAAGTGCTTATTAATTACCTAAAAACCTTGTTTTTCAAAATTAAAAAGCTTTAATGATTTTATCTTGCCAAAGCTATGATGGCTTATATTTTGAAAAAAATGTATTTGATATATTTTCTCTATTTATAAGCACATTAGGATTCTTTTAATTTTAAGTGAACTACTTACATATACATTAACTTTATTTTTTAAGTTATCCATTGTTTTTTCAATCTTTTCTTGTTCTCCAGCTAATTGCAGCATTTTTCTAAACTCCTCATCTTTAGAAACTAATAAATCAACCAAAGCAGCATGTTCAACACTTGAAATTTTTTGATGTTTCGGTGCTATTGTATTCTCAATTAATTCTCTGAAAAGGAATTTTTTTAATAAAAATTATATGTTTTTAATTAAGTGTAAAATATTCTTAGTTAAAATTTTAAAACTTTACTTTGCTATTATTTCTATATCATCTACGAGTAATAACAGCCTTTCTTTTGTACTTAAATGGAAGGACATTTTGTTTCTTTACTTCTGTCCTATATTTTTATTTGCTTCTCTTAGTACAAAATATTTTATATTTTTAATAAAATTTATCTTAAATTTAATTTTAAAAATATTCTGATATGATTTTATATTTAAAATTTCTGTAGAAATAAATTGTATTTAGATTGTTTACGGCCAAACGCCAAACTTAAAATTTGACAATTATTATACCAGTGCCTTTCAAACAATTTTGATGTTTCTAATTGACATTTGAAGTTTAATATCTCAAATCTCAAATCGTAAGTCCTCATAGCACTGTGCTACATATTTACGATAACGCTAAAAAGTTCTGCCTTTTTTGAATTATGCTTAATGGTAATTTTGTGGATATCTATCATCAACTAACACATTAAACAACATTTCTTGTTGATTTGATTTTAAAGAGGAGACAGAAATAATAAAAGAGTTATCTGCATGTATTCAGATTATTTTCAACACAAGTAAGTAAATTGAAATGATGCAAAATAAAATTTATATGTATATAGATAATATGTATAAATTTTATGTATTTTCATGTAATATTTCGAGAAGCCACTCTTCTCGAGAAAAATTTTACCTTGTATGAATCAAATATCATATTTAAAAAATCATCATTTTTTGTCAAATTAATGTAAAATTTTTTTCGAGAAGAGTGGCTTCTCGAAATATTACATGAAACTCTGTAATTTTCTGATAAAGTGAATACTATCTGAATACCAGTCTTAACTTCGGTGACGCCTCAAGTATTAGTTTTATACGCCGATACATTTGTACGCGATTAAATGTCGCAAAAAAATGGAAAATAAACAAGAATCCTGACTTTTTTTTAAATTATTTCCAATATACCGACCGCTTTGTTTCTTTGTTTTTATTTTATATCCATAGCATAATCTTCTTACATAATCAATCAACAAAAACAAGAACAGATAACACAGTTTTTGAATTTTACAAGTCGGGCGAACAGAAGGAGTTACACATTTTGATAGCATTAATCCAACAATACAGGTTATTTTTTTGACAAAAAATGTTACGTGGCCATTTAGAGCAGATTTCAAACTTTCGTTTTAATACAAAAAAATTTAAAAAAGATCCTGTTTTTAGATATTAGAATTTAAAGTTAAAATTAAATCTGGCTCTGTATAAAACGAAAAGTTAAGTCGGGTTCTGTAAAGAATCAAATTACATGGTTGTACATTTGGAAGAGTGGCAAATAAAATAGATGCAAAGCGAAACAACAAAAAAAAAATTTCTAATCAAAGACACAAACCAAAATTGTCATTTTAACCTGAAGACAATTTATACAAAATGACATGTTATTGAAATTTTTATTTTGACATTTTCTTCACGATCAAAATTGATCACTTTTGTTGGCTGGGAAATTAATATTTTTGTATTTTAGCTCTGCTGTCTATCGTATTTAGTAATCAGTATTTAGTTATTTTAGTTAGTCCAATACAGTTCAATCAATCTCAAGTTTACTATCGTTTTTTATTTTGTATTTTGCAATATTGTTTTTTGTGTTTTCTAATTTTTTTGTATTGCATATTTTAAAAAACAACAAGCTCAAAATTATTTATTTTTTGCTGTGAATTTAAAATCTTAAAAAGAAAAATGAAATTGCTCATGTTAAATAATAAGATAATAGATTTAAATGATTATATTAATCTGAAAATTTAAAACATAATTCTAAAGAATAAAATACAAAAGAATCTTAAAGTAAAATTTTCATGTAATATAAACTACATGAGATCAGTTTACATAGTGATGAAAGGATAAAATTTTTTTTAAATAAGAAATAAAAAGAAAAATCTTATGGGATGTGAAAAAAAGAAAATAAATAAATTAGGCAGTATTTTCTTAATATCGTAGAAAAAAAAGAACGAAGAAAATAAATATTGTCTATTATACATATTTACATATCTATATGTATATGCATATAAAAACGAATCTACAATATTTCTATTTTATTGGATTGTAATTTTTGTTTAACACAAAAGGTAATAAAAATGACCTAGAAATCTCAATAAAATTTTTGTTTATTAACTTACAGCAGATCTATTGCTACCAACCTTCTATTACTATTTTATCTAATTTTAGGTACAAGATATTTATATTGCAGATTTATAATAATGAAATTGATTGGAAACATATTTTTTATTTAACAATATCGGTAACAACAAAAAGCAAAAAAATTAAGATTCCAAAGATCATAGAAAAAAAATCTCAAAGTTTGGTACAAGTAAACAATTTTTATGCCAGCAAAGCATCTCTCTCTAGAAAAATAAATCGCTTTGTATTAAATATATACAAAATAAACGCACAAAAATGTAAAATAATAAAAGTAAAGAAAAAAAAAAGATCTTTAATGATCTAACCAAAGACTCCAAAAGTAGGTAGACATAAGGTACACATACCAATAGTTTGATTGGTAAAAAATGAAAAAAAAAAAACAAAATGAATTAAAAAAGACTTGAAAAGCTTTTGTTTCGTTCTTCCTGTATTATCTAAGCGCGTATTTTTGTAAAGAAGAAAATAAAAAATTGTACACATATTTTTGTAAAAATATTTTTTTTTGTTGATTTTCTTTTTTTTTATTGTCTAAATTCTATTATATGCATTTGAAATTTTTTTAATTAAGAGTTATTAATAATTTAATTGAACTTGAAATAAAATTTTTCTTATTCTATTGTTTATTTAAAATAATTGCGACATATGAAAGCTATGTAAAGATACCTAAGTACATTATATTGGGTTCATTTTATTTGAACTTGTTGGTTAAGAGATTTAATTTTAAAATTTTATTTAAGTAATAATTTTTTATTTGATATACATAAGTATACCTAACTACATCAATGAATTCTGTTTAATTTTCTTTTGTCTTGTAAATACTGTAAGTAATAATTTAGCTTTATTTTGGGCTTCTAATTAATTTTAGGGTTTTTAAGAGTTTTACAATGATCCAAATATGTTAAAATACCAAATTGTACAAGTACATTATATCCTAACTATCTAAATAATAAAATATTAAAAATTTCTAAATACTTATTTAGTTTTTTTTTTTGAATTATATACCTATTTTACAAATTCGTTATTTTTGATAACGATAACTAAATATAGTAGGAGTTGAAGGAAAAACAAAAGAAGAAGAAGAATATAGAGGAAGAGATATAAAAGGGGAAGATAAATATTTATGTTAGAAAGTTTTTCAATAAAATATTTTTGTTTTTTTTTTTTATTTCATTTTCTATTTATTATAAACATCTTTAGTTTCTAATTAATAAATGAGTAGTTAAGTTAACATACATATATAAAATCCAGTTTGATTTTTTTTTATTTCATCTGATTAGCTGTGGTAGCTATGAAATCATATCTTTAAAAGAGAAGAGTTTAGCAATAAAATAAAATTAAAAGGAAATTAATTCAAATACTTACATATTTACTTACATTTTTCTTTTTTTGTTTAGTAATTTTTAAGCAAAATAAGGTAATTTTATAATAAAATATGTACTTATATATATGTATATAAATACTTTAAACAAGTGTAGTTTGTACCTTAAAATACTTGTAGTTTGTACCTACATGCGAGTGCTATTTTTTGCTAAAAAAGGAAGCTGATTTTTTCTCTTATTTAATTGATTTATTTTATAAATGAATAATACCAGTTTTGCTTTATTAAAATTTTATTGTAAAATTAAATCTTATTTTTATCTATAAATGAAATATAAAATATAGATTCATGTATGTACCTAATTTAATGTAAATTTAATTGCTGTAAATCAAAGGTAAATAAAAGCAATTTGTTTGCATTCGTATTTTGTCCGTAATTTATGCATTCAATGTTTTTTTTTTGTTTAACATTAGTTCTAATATTTTGTATTACATCATTTGTAAAAATTATTGGTGTTCTTATAGTGTATACGCAAGCATCATAAGTAGCATAGTAAGAATTTTCCTTATTCAAATTTAAATTTTTGGTTTTAAGTACATATTTATACATTATGTGTATATACAATACAAATAGGAACTTCCTTTATTTATAATAAATGTATACGTATGTATAACACCTATGCAAAGTTGTATTAAAAATTTTTAAAAATTTTCAATTTTATCCAGGCACTGTACTGTAGAATTTAGTAGAGATACTCTAATAATTATATTTACTTAGCAATTATACTATTACTTCTGATTGCCGAAGACAATTTTTGAAATTAAAAAAAATTCATCACTCAGTTAATTTTCAGTTAAATAACTACTTAATTTTTTTATTATATTTTAAGGTAATTAAAAAATCTTATGTTATTAGGAAAATAAATTTGTGTGTTTCAAGAACAATTTTTCAATACAACTTCAGTAAGACTTTGATAACAAAAGAAAAGTATGCGTAAGTTCTTTTAAATATGATAACAATATCCTTCCTTTCGGCACAATGTTAGATTTTTTAATAAGTTATGTTCAATAACGTGTTGAAAAACAAATTGTATTTACTTAATATAAAATTCATTCTTATGTAACACTTTTAAAATCGACATTTATTCTAATTACTTCTATATTACAAACTACTTAATTTGTACAAATTTTGTTATATGTAAGAAAACGAAATAAAATAATGTAAAAATTAAATGGAAACAATTAGTGCTTAACCAAAAAGTTACACATAATATTATATACTTATATATACTTATAGAAAACATTCCAAAATCTTTCGTAAAAAGAAATGTGGTCAACGGTTTGGTAATATTTAAAACCATAAAAATAATTGCCATACATAAATATATTAATTATAATTTGTGATAAAAAAAAAAAATTGAAATTTTGCTATGATTGATTATTTCTCGGATATGTTAATAATACCCATTTTTGCGGTGAAAATAACTCAAAAAAAAATTTGTTATAGGATATTTCGCTAATTATATTTTTTTGACTTAAAATAACTATGGTAACATGATCATAGTTATACCATTATATATATATATTTAATATTATTATTAATTAGGTACTTACACTTACTTATTGAAATGATTATACTTGAATATTTTAGAGTGCAAGTTTCATTACACTTATTATCAACTCTCCCCTAATAATTTAAATGATAAATAGCTTTATTTTTTTTATTAGTGAATTGTGGGATTTATTGCACAATATTACTAACAATATTATCATAAATTTATGAAATTGTGAAGATCATTTTATTTTAACCCAAAATTTTTATATATTGTATACATTTCGACCTTTTATGATTAAGTAGTCATATGGGATACTAACAAATTAAATGTTTTTTTTTTTATGATTTTTATAACTTTAAAAGTAGTAAAATTAAAGATATCGAATTAAACTTAAGTATGGATCTATAATGGGATTACATCATAAAAAGGACAACAAGTAGTTTTAATATAAATTATATCTATCATTACTATTAAGTTAGTTTACCCTTAAGCAGTAATAAGTATACATTTTGTAAATCTAATTCAATTAAGTTATAAATTGCTGAATTCAAGCTTAATTATAAATTTCTGCGTATTATTCTTTTCTTAACTAAAGTTATTGTGTTCACTCGCTCTAAATTCAACTGACTGTTAATGTTCAATTCAAATATTATGTAATTTGAAAAATTTTAATTTCAATAAAGGGTTGTCGTTGCAATTTTTTAAAATATCATAATAGTAATTGTATAAAACTATAAGTATCGAACTAAATATTGAATTTAATATATGTTATACAGCTATATTGTAACGATGATTTAATCGGTGTGTCTATACTTACACTTACGAATTACAATTTTATTGCAGTTTGTCTGTTATTTTTTACAATTATTTATCACATAAGATAAAATCTATATAGAGAAAAAGAGCTTGGTCTTATTTCATTTTTTTCTCTTATTTTATTACTTATTTTAAATTTTTTTGTTTTACTTGTACTTTTTATTTTCCAATAGAGTTAACTTTTGTTAAACGAAATTGCGCGTGCATATATTCATACATGTATATGATATACCTACAATTGATAAATTTAAATTAATTTTTTTTCTACTATTTTATAATTTATAGACAAAATAGAAATTTATTATTTTCTTTTTGTCCATTTTACAAATAATACTTACAAATACTTCAATATTAAAATAAAAAAAAAACTAGTTATGAATCTATATAGAAAATATGGACGAAATGGAAATAATGAAAAGTAGTAAAGTGGTGCGAAACTCGTATTAAATGTTGACATAATTGCATAATTTTTATGATTGCTATGAGATTTTTTTTTTGTTTTTCGTATCATTTTCTTCTTATATATTATGTACATACATGTATGTACTCTTTTTATCCATCTTGCATTATTATTTGAGGTATTGTTTTAAAAAAATGTATGTGTATACATATATGTGTATATTTGTATGGAAAATAATTTAATTTTATGCACATATGCTTATAATGTTGTAGGTTGAATTTACACATTATTATTTGAATGATAGTAAAAAATATCATTAGAGTTGCATTTTTATAAAAAAAAATATATTATTACTACTATATATAGTACTAAACAATCTATTATAAATAAAGTACTTAGCTAAAATTAATTTTTTACATAAATGATATTTTTATCATTTTAAAATTCAATAATGTCATAAATAATAAGTATTAAAAGAATTATCTACCTAGCCCTAAGTGGTACTTATATTCATTTTAGTATATGTTGCAGTGGTGATAGCTAAAGTTTGACTCTCTAGACGGTCAGATTTAAATATTTTACCAACAAAATGTGTTACATTTTAATGAATTACTGAATAAAAAATACAACGTGTAGTTGTTTAATTAATTAGTATTATGCCTATTACACTAATAATTATAACTTAATGGTAATTTCTTCATACAACTGTAGAACAGATGGATGACATTTTTTTATAGTTACTCAAAAGGCAATTTTGAGGTATTTATAATTAGTTAAATAATTAACATTTTTTAAAAATCGAACCCCAGAAATTGGAGTTGGAATATATGTGTGTATA